CACTCTCGTGATCTCGAGACAGTCGTCGAACGCCGACTACGGGAGATGAAGTGAGCCCTAGAACTCTGGGAACGAAGAGAAAGTGGTGAGCTGGGCATGCGCAAAATGTTGCGGGCCTGTCGCAGGGACAGTTCACCACTATAAGAGTCACGAATCTCGTCTCGAGTGCTACAGACCAAGTCATGGCGGAACAAGCAGGCATTGTCTTCTCAAAGTTGAGGTCTCAGGTATCAAAGTAATGTAATATAATTCAAGGATATCATAAGAGTAGACCAACCAGCTATTTCCTGTAAACTTGCGTTTCGAACAGATTCCCGCATAAGGTTCCGCTGTGCGCAACGCTCATATCTATGCATAGTCACGACTGAAATACCACAAACGCCATTGTCATGCATGTCACCTCCGGTACTCCGGCAAGGCTTCGCTTTGCCGCCTGCTATCTTGCGGCGCACCCTGCGTACTTCGACCTGGGCGTACAGCACCCACGAGATCTTCGTCTTCGTCGTTTAGCGCAGGCGCCGAGGGTACCAATTGTAAGCTCCGCATTCTATCGAGTGGTGGCGCTGAAGGAGTATGTGAAGACTCTCCATCTTCATCATGATCTGTGGGCGGTGCACTTCTTTCCATTTCCAGTCTACGTCGCTGCATTTCCTGCTTGTCGTCGGTAGGTTCGACATGTGATGATGAACCAGCGACGTACTCTGGTGCGGAGCCTTGTGCCGTATGCGGCGATTGGGGTGGTAATGGCGGTAGTGGTTTTGATGGGTCGTTGTCTTCGCCATTAACGGGTGGCTCTGATCGACTGGGATGTATGGTATGCGAGGACTCGGTTCGGATAGTTCTCGTCTCGTCATCTGTGATGTTCGTAACACGGCGCTGTAACGATGGTGATGATGTCATGCGTGACGACAACATTGGCGAAGATGTCGCACGGAACGGGGGCGGAGGATGGGCTGAAGTCGAAGATGATGAAGCTACTGCGACGTAAGGAGGGTTTGGATCATCATCTTCTGGCAACACAGGCGCTGATGCAGGTATGCCATATTGAGCACCTCCTGAAGGCGTGGAGGATCCAGCAGCATCTGGCGGTTGGGAAGGTAGTAAGCGTTCTTCTGCTCGTCGCAACCGTTCTTTCTCCGATATTCCCTGCTCTTCTTGAGGAACAACTGCAGGCACAGGGAACCCTGGTGCCCTGCCTGCGCTATGCTGTTCATATCCGGGGACGTCGTCATACGTTGGATCGTAGTTGTAATCGTAGTATTGCCCGTTCTCGTCCTGCTCGTAGTAGTACTGATCGTAGCCCTGCTCGTCGCTGTATCCTCCGTAGGCGCCATTGTCATCAGCCGGCTGTTCCTGTATTTGTTTCTTCTTGCCGTTCCTGTCGCTGTCTCTGGTACCGATAACAACTTCGAACAAAGCAGAGATGATGCCCTTCTCGCGGCGAATCTGATCGGTGTCGACAAAGTTGCCTCCCCAAGTCGAGAACATGCTGCCGCTGGCATCATCACGTGTCATGGCAGAGGTGCCTCCAGCTGCAGAAGGCAGATTGACAAGCCCAGCGTTGGACACCATTCGGTCGAGGCCTGTGAGCTTGCCTTGTATGTCTACAACGACCTCGACGTAGTACTTGAAGGATATCATTGCGCCCGGTACGTTTGATATTGTGGGGAAAGCCTCATCTGGTACGCGCACCGCACACTTCACCTCGGCCATGAGCGTTCTGGGGTCGACGAAAAGTGGTGCAAAAGATTGACATAGATCCTTCCGGAACAAGTGACTGGATCCAGCTGACGAGAGAGACAAGCCTCCCAGGCCAGTCCTCGATTTCGGATAGTAATCTTCTGACTTGGTCTTGTCGCCTTTGCTGTTTGGTACGACAGGCAGTGCAGGATGCATGTCAACTCTCGCTTGACGATACAACGTGATGATGATACCTTTCAAGCTTCGTATATGCTTCGTGTGATTCACAGTCACTTTGATCGGTATTTGGTCGCCTCTGAGAAAGCCGGCCTTGAGCACGTCGATCGTGGCTGTGATTGTCTTTCCTTTCAGTGTCGCTCGACTTCCATTTTGTGAGTTTGACCCATCTGTAGCCGTGTTGATCGAGCGAATGCCGTACTCCGTTCCGGAAGCGTTTCCACTACTCCTTTGACTCTCATAGCTCACATCGCTAGGCGAGGGACTCCGTGGACCCTCCGTCTCATCGATGGTCTTGGTTGCTTCCAATACAGGCCCCACTGACTGAGGCTCCGAACCAGAGGGTGTATGCGGCGTTTCCTCTATTGGCCTCTTCCGCGTCGACCTAGCGCGTGTTCGTCTAGATATGGGTTCCAGAGAAATGACACGGGGCTTCAATTGCGGTACGGGCGCGATGTCGATCGATTCGGTGAGGTAGACCTTTGTGTCGCATGACGCAGTCGGCGACATAGTCGTGGGGCGTGTCAAGGTAGCATTGAGCATGTAAGATATCGTTCCGCGCTCGAACTGTGATTGGTTGTTAGTAAGTCTGTCAGCCGCAGACGAATCGCTACTCACGTCAATACTGCTGGGTAAGCCTTTGGAAGGGAACTCGAGCTCGAAGTTGAAGTGGTATACACCCTCAGCCAGTCTTCCCTCGCCGCAAAGCACAACCTCGTCCTCGAACAGCGAAACGAATCCATTGCCAAAGTAGCTCACTGCTTTTTTCCCTCTCCCAGAGCCGACTGTTGAGCAGTAATTCTTGTAAGCGTCTCCGGGAGTATTTGGATTCTTGAAAACCTGCGCATAGCCGTGCAAAGATACGACCAAATGAGTGATTCTCAGGGGTTTGACGATCTTGATAATGACAGTCCCACTGATAATGTCGCCCGGCGTATAATGGCGATGGGGGTCATCTGATTGAATATAGAATTCGGTGTAGTTGCGAGACTTGGATGTCAAGGGTGATTTGAGCCGAGAGAGAAACGACCGGCTCGACACTGGAGAGGACGGAGTAGCAGCTGAACGTGTCTGGCTGGAAGTCATACTCCGTGTACCAGGCACATCATGCGGCTATCCGCAGTATAGACGGTCGTCTCCGGGAGCCCACGCGATTCTACAAATGTGCCAGTACAAGCTAGTCGCTTGGGCCGCCGGGACGAGCTGTTGCGTGCAAGCACCGGTGTCGGGAGGCGCACGCGACCGGCGGTAGGGGTATCGCGAAAATGGCTTTGCGTGGCTAGTCAGAACAATAGGCGCAACAAGCACGGCGGCGGACGCGGTCAGGTGTCCGGTATATGGTGTTGTGGTTCTTGGGCGATCGCTTCGGGGCTGGCGCACGCAACGGCGACGCGCAACTGTCTCAGATGGACGGGGGGCTGTGGTGATGGCGATGGACAAGGTCGGTGACAGGCAACTGGATAGCGCGCACCTCTGGTCAGCATTGCGGTGGACACGGCGTAATCGTGGCAATACGGTGATGTCTCGCGGTCCCACGCGGGGAACGACGATGGTGATGGTGGCAGTGCTCTCTAGCGTGAGCAAAGACAAGCCGTCGTGCACGGCGCCGCAGCCCCATGGATGCTAACGTGACGGGCACGAGGCGGACAGCGAACAGCAATCGGGACGCTTGTGGGGCGCGAGGGAAGGGATGGATGTATGATGGATCAGCAGTTACGTACAGCTTGGGTCGCGCAGAAGGCTTGTTCAAGAGCCGCAAATGCTCTTGGCTGCCAAGTCGTCAAAGGAACACAGGGTCTGTCCACGGTGGAGAGTGGTTGAGCGGGGGCTTTTGGTGGGTGCAAAAGTTCGGTCTCATCAGCAGCACCTGAAGAATGTTGTTTAGTTGGAGTTTGGAGGCCCGACGACGTGTTATGTACGCAAGGGCACGAAAGCACTGCCTGGGTCGTCGCCAGCTATACAAGAAAGTTACCCGCGGAGGCAGACACCGTGCTCGCTGCAGCTGCACACCATGCGCGGGTGAACCTACGCGGATCCCCGATGCTGGGTCGCTAGGCTGTTGCGTTGCGCGATTCTTTTTGTCTGCCCACTCGGCCTAATCACATGCGAGTTGCGTTGTCTCTCGATACCGCTTGCGAAGCTTGCTGAGGCTTCTCTTGGGATCAAACCGACTAAGGTGGGCACTGGAGCTTGCGAAACAGCTAATGTCATGGGAGTGACCCATACAGTATCGAGTCTGTCTGCAGCGCTGATGAAGTCTGGCGCCAAATGCTATTATGTTTAGCCATCCTGCATCAGCGAGGGGACAGGCCCACTGCGGTCTCGATCATGCCGTCTGCGTCCTAGCGCGCGATCGTAGCTAAGCTTCTCTGCCAAGCAGGTCATCAATGCTTGTGTCGCGCTGTTAGTGCGTCACGGTCATGGACATCCTTCACGTTTTCAGGAGTACAGATATCATCACCTCCCCGATTCTCGCCGCAACGACATTAGTAAGCTAGAGCATATCATGCTAACGGCTGCGCACTCATAGGTGGGGGGTAGCTTGGTAGACGCGCGAACGAAGTACCTACCTAGGTAGGTATTTCCGAGGTCTGTTGTGGTCTACGATGAATCGTGACGAGAGGGCCCTTTCTTCTAATCTTTGCGCCTGCGCTCTGATGGATCTCGACGATAAATTTCTTCATGTAGCTTGGATTGTTCTCAGGTACAGACATTTGGTGATGGAGATTCTGGATAGCCACTCACAACCACTGCATTTCAAGCAAGACCTAGACGAAAACACAAAATCGGGTATGCGAAACCACGGTTGTAAACTGCCCACAGTAAGCTTATTACGTCGCCACTGAAACCTCTTTTCTCGAGCTACGATACAGTAGAGTCCTTCAATCATATCTGCATCTCTTGAGGTTTTACCTCCAAACGACGCCACTCTAAGATTTGCCGTCATTGAGAGGGTCAAACTTCGACAAAAAGCCATGAAAGACCACAGAGAACCTGCAAGTAGGAGACGAAGGCCTACTACGTATCAGCCCACCAACGTATCAATAGCCAGAAAGCAAAAAGCTATGAGCATTCACCCTACTATGGACTCAAAGGACAGACTCAAAACTGGCTTCGCCGCGCTCCCAGAAGAACTTCACCTAGAAATCTACAAATGGAGCGCAAATCGTATGGTCCTCAAAACTGTTCCTGGGATCAAACATGTACGTTGGGTGGCCACTACATACAATTCTGGCATCACTGGAGTCAGCCGGGAGATCCAGCAAGCTGCCGGCGACACATTGTATGCGCTCGACCGAGAGAAGAAAGCACGCCTTTTCGTGCACTGGAAGGGCATCAAGCAGTTGCCTCGCCTCTTGCAACTACTCGCACATACGTATACATGGGGTAAGCGCTGGCTTGAAGCCAATCCACCAAACGCGACAGATGGTCAGCAAGATTGGGTGCGAGTCAAAAAGTCAACTTCGCATGATCTCAACGCACTACTTTACGAGTATCTTAATCCCAGCCATTATAAGAAAATTTTCAGCGAACTCGGAGATCCATCACGATCACCTACGCTTTCCGCACTGGTACGAGACTGGTTTAGTGATATTGCTACGAAATGCAATACCGCCGCCCCGATCCCCATGGACACAACGGAACGACGTCTCTTGATCGAATTTCTGGAGATGACAATGGACAAATTACGGAACCCAAACACGAGGGGAGATCTCGAAATATCTATTACCGTCCCCAAAGCAGACACCAACTATGCAGACCCTGACGACCAGACCAGAAGACTGTATCTTGACGACGTAGTGGAATACATGTATCAACTTTTTGAGACTTTCCGGACGCATTTCCGAATCAAATTTCGGTTCCTTGCTGTCCTCAACACCCCAGCAGACGAGTTCAAATGGATACTGGTCGGTGGATATTACGCCGAATTCGTGGAGCCGTCCTATAATCTTGTGCAAACGGAGGGTACTGGTGGGTTTGAGGTCAAGCTTGGTAGCATCGCGCGTGTAGATCACGAGGCACTCGACATGGCTTGATTGTAGCTGGTGACGGGTGTTGAGGTGAAACAGAGTGCTCCAGAGGTCTCCTCCGCTCGAACGCGAAGCTCCGCATGGGAAATCTGTCACTCACTTGGGTATCGAGACGTTACGCCTACAGCTGGCGAATGAGCACGCCAATCGTTCAGAATATGGTGGTGTTTGTCAGTAGGGCGGGCGTGATCTAGTTCGGAGGATGGCTGACTCAGCGAGCGGTCGCAGAAAGCACAGACTGACTCGGGGCGCTGAACTTTTTCTGGCCGGAAGGCAAACTAAGGGTACGATCGCTCTCTGTATCCACAACCCCTCGGCGTGTCTACTTTTCTCTAGTTTCTCAGTGCGGATTACTTTGTATGTACGAATGAAGATAATGAAACTAGTTTCACACACTCTCTCATCTCGCCCGTTCGCTCTTGCTCGTCTCGTTCAGCCGCGCTCTCTAGCAACTAATACAAGACATAGCCTCATCTCGACAATCCCCTTCACACCCAACCGCACCCAACACAGACAGTACACTTCACTTCCAGCACCAGTCACAGACATGTCCGCACCACCGAAGCGCAAATGGACCCGCGGCGGCAGAGGAGGAGGCCGTGGAGGCGGCGGCGGTGGCGGCGGTGATCGTACCAACGGCACACCTGGGCGAGGACCTGCGAACGCTCGCTCGGCCATGTCGCAACAACCAAAACGTCCTAGAGTCGAAGACACACTGCCGAAGCCAGATGCGGGCGTCGACGTACGACAGATGTACAGCACTGCGGCCGGCGATGCGGCACCGAAGCCCTTCGCCGACCTGAAGAACAAGCTACACCCAGCGTTGCTCAATGGCTTGGACAAGATGGGATTTGAGTAAGCATAGCCCTTCTTACGTTACACTCTCCCAGCACGGTCGCTGACTCTTACAGATACATGTCCCCTGTTCAACAAAAGGTTCTCACTGAGCTGCCCAGTTCCTCCTCCGACTGTGTTGTACAGGCGAAGACAGGTACGGGCAAGACCGTGGCCTTCCTACTGCCTGCGATCCAAAACCTCTTGGCCGGTAACATGCCCCGGAAAGGCAAGGTCGCCATCCTCGTCGTCTGCCCTACCCGCGAGCTGGCTCTACAAATTGCGAAGGAGTGCAACGGTGTCACATCGTGTCTGCCCCAGAAGATGGAGTGCCATACTGCGTTCGGTGGTACTTCTCGTGCCTCGAACCTCAAGGCCTTCATGAACGGCAACCCTACCGTCTTGGTCGCTACTCCCGGTCGCCTTGACGACATTCTGGGTGAAGAGGAAGTTCGCGAAAAGTTCAGTGATCTGAAGACGGTTATCCTCGACGAGGCTGATCAGATGCTCGATGCCGGTTTTGCACCTGCGGTCAAGAAGATACTCAGGCGCATCCCCCCAAAGAACGATGGCTGGCAAGGAATGTGTTTCTCTGCCACACTCCCCAAGGAGGTTCTTGACATCGCCAAGATCGTCTTATTCCCTGGTTACACACATCTTTCGACTGTCGACCCGAACGAAGTGCCGACCCACGAGCGCGTACCACAGTTCTTCTTCTCTGTTCCTACTGTCAGTCAGACTTTCCCTGCGTTGTCAGCCCTGATCGAGGAGGAGTACAACCAGAACCCCACCGGCTTCAAAGCCATTGTTTTCGGTACCACCGCGAACGGTGTCGGACTGCTGTATGACCTCTACCGAAATGCGCTACCCCAGTTCAAGCTATTTGAGCTCCACAGCCGCATGTCTCAGCCTGCACGCACACGCACTACCCAGGAATTCAAGGACGCTCAAAGCGGTATTTTGTTCGCATCCGACGTCGTCGGGCGCGGCATGGATTTCCCCAACGTTGGCCTCGTCGTTCAGCTGGGTCTCCCCTCCAGCACTGACCAGTACGTTCACCGTGTCGGCCGAACAGCTCGTGCCGGTAAGGATGGACGTGCCGTCCTCGTTCTCTTCGAGCAAGAAGCCTTTTTCCCAAGGATCAACAAGACGCTGCCTATCAACCCTTACCCCGTCGACCTTGTGTCACGTCTACCCTCGCACCAAGCAAACATTGACCGAGCCTTCACCAATGTCGATGAGCAATCGAAGGCAAAGGCGTACCAGGCGTTCCTCGGCTACAACAAGACTTTCGTCAAGAAGCTGCAGATCTCTACGGCCGATCTAGTTCGTCTCGCTAATGATTACGCGTACACGATGGGCTGCCCCGAGCCGCCCATGTTGGAGAAGTCCACAGTCGGCAAGATGGGCCTGAAGGGAATACCAGGTCTCAGGATCGGGTCTCGAAGGAACTAAATATTTGTCGGGCCTTGAAGCAAAGATTCTGAAGCCGATGAACGATGTCTTACTTTGTCTGGAGTTTTCACATAGATCATTTGAGATTAGACATTGCTAATGAGCATGTCAGCATTGTTGGCGGAATCAAGAGATAGACATAGACCTTTTTTGGTGCACTAAGTTAGTACCTAGATACCCGAATATTTTCTCTTCGATGCAACGTTGCATGTCAACATTCCCATCATGTGTTTGTGTCACACCCAGCATGCTTTATATGCCTTCAATCGCAGAACGCATTCTAGTTCATTTCCCGCACCATAATAATCTACCACGGAAGATGTTCTAAAGAATGAAAGTTCGCCCATTGTATCGTGGAACACAAGTCAATTTGCCCGTCAGGAATAGAAGAGATAGAGGCAACTGTATTTTCCATTGCACATAGGAGACCACGGTACATTATCGATGACTCTTATAGCCACTCCTCCTAACTCCATGTAACTGTGCTGATTCAGTTCAAGTAACATCGGGCTAATGAAATGCCGTCCAACAGGCTTTGGGATGACTTGTAGCATTCTCAAAACGCTTGAAACATGGTCCGATGTCTGTACGGTCGCTAGGCTAGTATGTGACGACAGCGGCGTGAAATTACATAGTCAAATGACCTTACTGTAAAGACTCTGACAAGTTCAACTACCCGAATGTATCCAGTATATCCATAGATCATGTACACCCTTGTGCATTCCATGATCTTCACTAACAGCTCATGAGCAAACATCCATCGACAGTCAGGGACAAGATTAGTGTGGATATGTACATTACAGCGTTACATGCCTAGTAATGTGACCCTTTGCAAACTTTCCGATGGTGATCTGGTCGGGTGTCGCACTCAAGTGCCATGCCCACAGGCTGTACCTTGCAGAACCGCAACAGCACATTATCGCAAGGGTAGCATGAGCTCTTATCCAGGTACATTTTAAGGGTCAAGGGAACTTCCCCGGCACAGAACACGCTCGCAGCTCATGACAGGTCGCGTGAGCGCTTTATTGCCGGATCGTTCATGTCATGAGTTCAAAGCATGACAAGTAAGTCTTAAAGCATACGTCAGCTTTGCGATCAGGTGAAAAGGTTGGAATGAGCAGACACGGGGTTGTAGGGTGTGTAGAATTGAGTGAGGCCCGGCGTTTGTCCATTCAGCCTTACCATTTCCTCGACTGATGGTTTGTATACGGTTTCAATTTCACGGTCTTAGAATTCAGGTAGGCAGTTTGAGATTAGAAAATGATACGATTTATGTTTTCTCTGATTGGCCACAAAACTGTATTTCCGCAAGTACCGGCCTGAATTTTGGGCTCCGATCCGACAGCACTGTCAACGTCGGGCGGGAGATTTGACGGACGGAGTGAAGCACGCAGCGAAAACGACCTGTCGGCGCCCTCCGCTTTGGAAGCATACTTCCCGGTTTGGGTACACAAGCCTGTTTGCGGGTTTAAGCGCACGAGAGAACAGACGCTGTTGAGGTCGAAGTTGCGGCTACCCGCTGATCACCATGATGAGCCGTCCGCCCCACGCTGCTAATCACGGAGGAGGCTCCGCATCGTGATCTGTAAAGACTCGCTTAGGAGGTTATTAATGGAACCACAGACGTTGTTGACGGGAACCTAGCCGGCACCTGAGCGTTGCGCCTTTCAACAGGAGCTGAGCCGCATGATGAAAGAATATCGTAATGGGCAGAAGAAAGAGCAAGAGGTGTACAAGTCGGTAGACCGGATGCGGCATATGCGATATGACTGTTGAGTGGGGTGCAGTACTGGGGTAAGCTGACACGCAGGCATGGTAGCGAAGGCTTCCGCGCATGAAGACGGCATACTCGGAGCGCACTACGACGAGGTACCCGATTTTCACGTAGTGTTCCAAGATGAGTTTTCGCGCATGTGGTCGACCAGATGACAGTTCATCTCCTTTGCGAGTTTGTGATCGCGATGCAGGAGAAGTTCCGTGCGCTGGAGTTGAGATCGAAATGAGATGTCGGTGGTAGCCTCGAGAGACCCTTCTGGACCACGAGGGTAGCGATGCAGCGTGGACTGCGTACCCCTGGGATGTGGGCGTGTGGCTTTAGTGGTTGAGCTGAGCTGCACCTAAGGCCAGGGTGCCGTTTGTCGAGTTTCATGCGCCCCTAGTGTTCGGATCAGAGTGTGCCACCGTCTGGCACTCGATAGGCTGTGCATTGCGCTCCGGGGCGACTCCCTAGGCATACGATAGCTGTTATCCACCGGCTTGCAGCATAGCTGGCTGCGACGGGGCAGTTGTTTCACCGACGCGTTGCACTGGCGCTTGCACGTCGGTGGCTCTCCCAGTCGTCGCCACAGGCGTTGGGTGCTGGATCCCACGGCGGGCAAAAGCAATGGGTTTCAGATGGGCGTCAATGGCAGCAGCCTTACCGTGCACGCCCACTGCAAACAGCTGGCTAGTGTAATTGCCGGCGCGAGGTTGTTCCTGGGCAAGATGGGCATGACGTGCGATCGATCAGAGGGAACCCGTGCTCGGACCCCCTCATTGGCCACGCTCCCTTGCTCCTTCCTTGTAGGTGCGTTTGCAGTGGCAGCCAAGGAAGGTGCGCTGCAGCTGCCTCCAAGCCTGCCTATTGCCCTGTTGTCCTGCCCGCTTTCTCTCCGCGCTCCAGCAGCGGCCCAAGATCTCCTCTTCTTGTTTCATCGCCCACTTTGTGTCTTTGAATC